ACCCAAAGAGTACCCAGGTAGAAGTGTTACTGGAGGGAAATGTGGTTCTAGAGAGTAATCACAACTGGAGTCATAAAAGTGACAATTCAGCCTAGGTAGCTTGATGAACTCCAACAGATGAGTCCCTATGAGGAGAGAAGAACAGAAGCCAAGCACAGAGCCTCAGTGACTGTCTACAGCTGAGGGACAGGCGGAGAACTAGGACAATTGGGATAACAGCTCAAGGAGAGGAATACTTAGGAAAGAGAACTGGTCAAAAGTGTCACTTGTTGCAAAAGTAATGGGGAAAAAATCCTATAGTTTTAAGCTACTGTATAATCACAAAAATACTATTTGTCTATCATATTTTTTTTTCCAATAAGGTGTAGAAGTTGGCTCTATAGTCAGTAAACATTTGTACCAAAGAAAAAAACTGAATTCCTTCCCAAAATTGATAGTAAGCCAAAAGGGAGGAAAGAAGTTTAAGAGAAAGAAAGAGAGGGAATGGGTCTATACCACCCAAGCTAAGCATAAATCATGTCAGCAAAAGAGGGAGTGGCTGGGGAGGCCTGGCAGCTGCAGTCACCAGGAATCTCCAGTTGCTCAGTGGCCACCAGGCAGCTACCCAGAGGAGCTTCTCCAGAGCACCTTTGGAACACGGCCAAGAAGAGGTTAGTGAAAACTCTGGGAGAGCATCTGACTTACACTAATTTTTCCCTAATTTAAGATAAATCAGAAGGGAACTCAGAGATCAATACAATCTGAATTTATATTAGGAAACAGGCCCCAAGATATAATTTGGTCACACTTGTATATTTAGTGTCAGAATTTACCAACTCTATCTCCACTCTGGAGAAATTTGTGTTTTTCAAACGTAAACGTTCATAAATTGGTCACATCACAAAGCAGAAAATCGGAAGAATTACTTTTTGGAATTATTTTAATTTTTTTAAAAAAAACCCTTTACATTGGACCACTTGAATATCTGCCTTAATTTTCCGTGTGCTGATTTGATAAATCAAGTGACTAGGTGAAATAGAACAAAAATTGTTTTCCTCCATATTCCATGCTATGGAAATAAAGAGCATCTATTCCTTATTACAATAGTGGATATGCAACAGTAAAACTACAATTGCATGGTGTTCAGAGTCATTATCTCAAAAAAAAGAAAAAGAAAAAATTGTTAAGCTTTGAGGCAAAGAATAAATTAACTAGAGTGAAAGAATTTCTTTTCCAAATTCCAGACAGAAACAGCTTGACACTTTGGAAAGAGGTCCTTATGTGGGTTACAGTGTTTTCCTGCCTTCCTCATTTCCTGTTTTATCATGATCAACCTCAGCTGTTATATTTCTCCAAAGCATACATTTTTTAGTGTGAACAAATTATGTTTTCTTTTCAGAACATGTGAATATGTTAGTGTTTTTTTCACAAACAGAATGAGCTTTGGTTTTGCCTATTTGTTTTCATCACTCTCATTATACAGAGAACTGGAAAATATTTTTGAAAGAGGAACAGTAAACAGTGACTCTGAGAAGACCACATTGGTTCTAGGTAGTTTTACATGTTGAACTGTTTTTTTGTATATTGTTGATAGTGTTGTTGACGTATTTCCTTTCTTTCACACATTGAAGTGCTATATTACTCTAACCATAACTTTGGAACAAATTGGAAACATATACACGTCCTTGACCAGAAATTTTGACTCACCAATTGCATTTTTATACAAATGAGCTTTTCAGTTTGGGTTGAGAAAACACAATAGAAGGAGTGACCCTTCAAATAGCAACATTACTGGACACCAATGATTTCCAACTGATTTGATGATAGTGAAAAACATTACCAATTACATAAAGCAACAAAACAATTCTAAAATAATTTAAATTTACTTATGTTTTTAATGGGATAATTATTTGTTGGGACACTTTTGATAGACATTCCCTCAGATCAAACACGCAGATCAAACACGCCATCCTGGTAAAATTCAGTGGAAGTCAACAGAGAAAACTGTCCCAATGTAATGAAAGTTGATATTTCAAACATATTTACAACTTAATAAACTAAATGTTTCATTTCCACAGATAAGACACCTTATAAGGCCGGACTTACTGACCAAAATCAGTGGGAAATACTAGAGGAAAGTGGAATGGAATATATGGTACTCATTGCAGCTATCATATTGTAGAACCAAATGCAGCATTAGTCATAGTAACAAAAACTGAAAACAACTCAAATATCCAGGAACATTAGAATGAATAAAGTGTACCACATTCAATGATAGAATTCAATATAGCAATTAAAGTGAAAAACTACTGCTATACATAGCCTAATGAAAAGCAAAGGAAGTCACATGCATATACAAAAATACATAGTGTAGAATTCCATTTATATAAAGTTCAAGATCAGGCAAAATGAATCTATAGTACTAGAATTCCTGGTAGTAGTTACCTTTGAAAAGAAGGGTGGGGGTAGTGACTTGGAGGCTTCTGGAGTGCTGGTAATGTTATATATCTTGGTTGCAGAGATATTTTACTTTGTGAAAATGCACATTTATGATTTGTGCACTTTTCTGCATGCACATTATACTTTAATGGTTTATTTTATGGTAAGATGGAATAAGTAGATTCCATCTTGTTTCTCCCACTGAAAGCAGATCTGAAACCTGAACAGAGTGCATGAAGCAGCAACATAAGAACTCTAAAAGGAAATACAAGCATAATAGGAAGACTAGGGGGAAAAATAACACCATAAAACTAATAGTGGGCTCATCATTTTTTCCCTCCAGTATCCACCAGTCTGGTGTCAACACAGCCTGTATCCTAGAGGTGAGCATTGTGCAGACAGAGTACACTCCAGGAGAAGCCCTCTAGTTCTAGCTCAAGAAGTGGAAAGGATCTCTAACATATTGGCCTCTTGCATTCCATTCCTCAAGGCATCCTGGGACTGTGGTAACAGCAACAATTGCAACAAGGGAGACCCTCAGGAGCCCAAAACTCTGATGAAGGAGAGAACCTTACTATCTGATTGGAGGACTTGTAGTTCCAAAAGACTGGGGCAAAGCCCCATTACTTTCTCTCTTTCTCTCTCTCTCTCTCTCTCTCTCTCTCTCTCTCTCTGTCCTCCCACCACTTGGCCCCATACGAAGGAGCAGTCACAAGAAGCAAATCACAGAGCGGGATAAAGCTCCAGCTTTCTAGCCAAAGGACCAAAACAGGGGAATTCCAAGGAACTGAAAAGTGCCAGGGAGATCAGAGAGAGAAAGGAGCCTGGGAAAGGATTTTGTAAAGCTGTTTATGAACTACTGAACTCACCCCTGGGCATGTGTGACTCTGACATAAAACAGTATATCACAGAATTCAAAAACTGCACTGCGGGATAAAGTATTGCTCTGACCTCATACTGGCCACTGAGTGGTGTACACATGGGATAGATATGGAAGGTACTTCAAAGGCTTTGGAAATGGAACTGACATTGAAATCATAATCCACAGAAGACTAGTCAGAATTTGCAGCCTAATCATAACTAGGTTACCTGTTGCTAAAATTGAAAAAAGCAACAAAATCAACATTTTCCATATAACTTTAAGTAAACAAGACCCAAAGCTCTATTGCATGATATTCAAAATGTCCAGGATTCAATCCAAAATTATTCTACACATGAAGAATTAGGGGGGAAAAAAAAAGTTGACTTGAGTGGGACAAGACAATTAGTTGACACAGATGACTTTACGGTAGCTATCATTAAAATCCCTGACAAATTAAGTGTGAATACCCTTGAAATAAATGGAAAGATAGAAAATCTTACCAAAGAAATACAAAGCATAATGAAGAATCAAATGGAACTTTTAACTTTGAAAAAGCTACTAACAAATAAAAAACTAACTGGATGTGCTTCAGATAGTAGGAGATTGAACATGACCAACGAAAGAGTCAATGAACTTGTAGCTAGGCCGATAGAAATTACCTAACCTAAACAAGAGAGAAAAAAGATTAGAAGAAAAAGTTAACAGAGCCTCTAGAGTCTGTGGAACAATATCAGAAGATCTAACATTCATATCATCATAGGAGAGACTATTGTGTAAAAAGCAAGTATTTGAAGAAATAATTCCTAAGCACTTCTCAAATTTGGCTAACATTATAAATTTATAGATTCAAGAAGCTCAGTTAACCCTAAATAGGGTAAACTCAAGGAATCAATGCTCAGACATGTAATAATTAAAGTGCTAAAAACTAAAGACACAGAAAAAAATATCAAATGCAACCAAAGAAAACTGATGTATTACTTACAGGGAAACAATTATTTGCAAGATGGCCAATTTTCCATGAAAAACATTGAAGACAGAAGGAAGTGGAATATTTTTTATGTGCTAAATGTACTGTAAACCTAGAATTCTGTATGCAGTGAAAATATCCTTTAGGAATGAAGGTGAAATGAGGATATTTACAGGTAAAGGAAAAAAGAAGTTTTTGCCAGCAGAACTGCTTTAAAACAAGTACAAAAAATACTTAAGAAAAGTTCTTCAGACAAAAGTTCTGTCTGAACAACAGAAGAGAAAGAATGAAGGAAGCATGGAATGTTGGAAAAGAAGGAAGAATAATAGAAATTAAAACATCCGTATAAATACAGTAGGCTACTGTTCTCAAGTTGTTTAAAAGATAAGTAAGGGTTGAAAGAAAAAATACAAAATTATCTCATGAGGATATATATGTATCTGTCATACATGCGTGTGTGTGTGTGTGTGTAAGAGAGAGAGAGAGACTCAATTCAAAAGAAAGAAGGGAATGTCAATAAAAAGGAGAGGGCACAAACAGAAAATGAAACAGTAGAAAAGGTCAACTTTACTACATGCTAATTTTAAAAATAAAATTAATATAAATAAGGAAATTTTAAAAAGTGTATATTTACAAAAAGTTTACTTGTAAAATATAGGGCACAAGCTTCCCCAAGAATGACTTGAGTATCTAGATTACATCAATGACTAATCTGACCACAAATGAAAACCAGGAAGATAATGATATACTCACCACTGCTTGCCCCTCTACAGTTTCCGTTACTAGAATCCATAGGAAAATCTGAAAGGAAGTGACAGGACAAAGAACCATAACATATTTGTTTTATTTCAAGAATTCCTAAAGATAAAAATCTAACTCAGCCCCAAGTTTGATTTGGGTAAGAATCCAATTGTCTGAAGGAAGTAGACTCTTATTAATGTCATGAGGTTGGCATTCTTATCGTTTGTGGGCTTTGGGTATGGGTGAGATCTATTTTTTCATGTGGTTATAAGGAAATACTCTTCTGAATACTCATCAACTGTGCATAAAATTTTAGAATAATTTATTTGAATTTCACAAAATTTATAAATGATAAGCATCCTATCACAATCAAACCTATGCAAATATTAGGCACTCATCCAACACTTATGACTTGATGACAAAAAGAACCAAACACATCTTCAATAAATAGACATATCACACTGAACTGGTATATATTTAAATCCTTAGTTCCTAAACGAACACTCAGAAATCACTCTCATGTCCTTTAACTGCAGGCTAAATAGTTCTTCAGTCGAAAAGAAACCTACTATTTAGGGACTATTCAAGCCAGTGCAATTTATAGATGCGACAACAATTAGAAATTGCTATTGATTCTTTCTATGATGCCGTAATCCCAGAAAATGGTAATGATAAAGGTTTTCTGTGTTCTAATTAAGAAAGCAGCCTCTAATGAATAATACTTAGTGCATCAGCAGAGCTCCATGCTGAGAGATGCTGGACCTAGCAATATATCTTTATCGACACTCCAATTCAGTACTTTTATGAGTTTTACATTTGTAGTAACACTTTATGCTAAACTAGTTTAATGCCTCTATTTATTCTCAGAGAAAATAGTATTCTTCCTTTGTCCTTTTTGTTTATAAGTCCTATCAGGAATAAATTAAACAAGGGGTTAATACTATTTTAGGACAATAACTCCCACAATTACAATTAATGAATTACTTTCCCAGGTTTAGTAATCATCCGCAAGTATTTAAAAAGCAACATCCAAGAAAAGATAGCAGTCAGCAAACAAACAGATAAGCAGGTAACAAACACTAATTCTAAAACATTTGCCTCAACTTGGGCATAAACTATTAATTACTAATACTTTCATTATATTCAAACATTCATTCATGATAAATGTACCCAAGTATTACAGTAACGTGCTAGTGGTTTTTCTATTTCTGAATAATCATGTGATAAAATGCATACAAAAATAATGTCTTTATAAAGGAAGAAATTATGTTGGCCCACATTTGAAATGTTTATTATTCAAAGGTAGAAATAAGAGTGAAAAATGAAACTTTGCTTGGTAAAAGGGAATCACTTCAAAATAGCTAAGCCAAGGAGACTGTTTTACATCTTTCACTCTTCAAAAGAAAATGTTTCTACACTTTTACAAATGCTTAGAAGTCAACTGTTAGAACTGAAAGACAGAAAACAAAAAGTTTCTAATAATTGATCAAAAAAATATTATCAGAAAGTTAAACTCAGGAATTCTAACAACAAATTACCTTAAATGAAAATAGATATTATTAGTAAGTTTTATGCCCCAGGATTTCTAGTGGAGGTCACAGAGGTTTCCAGAGGAGTCCTAAGGAGTTAGGAAACGTAGGGAGAGCTTTCCAGATAGAGAATAGCATTGCAAATGTACTGGGGTGAGATGCCTGCAAACGTGGCTGAAACGAGACCAGTCTAAACAGAGAGAAACAAGCTAGAGGAGTCAGAAGGGTGAAATCACGCAGGCCAGAGGAAGACACCCAAGGATTTTAAGCAAGAGATTTGCATTTCAGAAAAAATATCTATTGGAATATGGAGGGGAAACACTGGAGATAAGAGAGACCATTATTATCCTATGGCCATAATCCCAGTGAGAAACGGTGAGGTCCAAACTAAGAAAGTAGCATTAGAGAGGGAGGGAAGGGAATTTGAGTCAGAGTAGACCCAACAGCATGTGGTATCTATTGAGTGAGGGGAATGAGGAAAAAGGTAGAATCAAGACTGCTTCCCACAGCCAGGTGCAGTGGTTTACACCTGTAATCTCAGCACTGTGAGGCCAAGGTGGGCAGATCACCTGAGGTCAGGAGTTTGAGACCAGCCTGGTCAACATGGCGAAAACCCATCTCTAACAGAAATACAAAAATTAGCTGGGTGTGGTGGCATGCCCCTGGAGTCCCAGCTATTCAGGAGGCTGAGGCAGGAGAATTGCTTGAACCTGGGAGGCAGAGGTTGCAGTGAGCCAAGATCATGCCACTGCACTCGAGCCTGGGTGACAGAGTGAGATTCTGTCTCAAAAAAAAAAAAAAAAAGACTGCCTCCCAGGCCTGGACTACTGAAGTATGGTGGTACCTTTCAACAATATAGAAAATGCTAGAAAGAAACAAGTGTATGATGATGGGGAAATGATGAGTTCACTCTGGGGCATGCTAAGACAGAGAGAATAGGGACATGAGAATCTGGAATGTATAATCTCTACTATCTCAAAATTGCAGTGAAGTCAGAATCTCTTATCTCTTTGAATCCATTGTCTAGAAACCACCTTTTATTCTCTTAAGCCATATATAAGCTGACTTCAAAATACAATGAGAAAACCTTTGTTCCTTTAACTGCAACCTGCTAGGCAAAGAATAACAGATTCTCTAGAAAGTTAGGAATTACATTTCTTAAGGGAGGAAGTGTAGTGTAGAACAGGCTCTGCTTTGAATTCTCTTTTTCTTACTAGCTCTGCTAACTCGGACAGTCACTTCGCTTCTCTACATGCCTTGGTTTCCTTTTCTCCAAAATGGGAATAATAGCCCCTACCATGTGGTCATGAGAATTAAGTGAATGTGCAAAATGCACTCATGACAGCACCTAGAACATAAGTGTTGGTTGCTTTTATTGTTATGCTAATGGTTCCTGTCCTCAGGATGACACGTCCTCTCCCCAATGATGTTGTTAAACATTTATATTGTGCTTTACCGTTTATCAGTAATTTCATGTTAATATTTCTTTTGTTCTTCACAGTCCTCAATCAATGTCAATGTCAAGTGACTAGTTCAATGTACAAAATTAATGGCAAATTTAGAATTCCAACTAAGGGCCTGTAACTCTAAAAGTGTGGTTTTTCCTAAATTGAGGAGATGTAGCCAATTCTTAATTATTCAAAACTATATCTATCTGTTGACTCTTGGTCTCCTCATTCCAGACTCAAAGTAGAACCAGAAGAGCCAAATATAACCTAATCAGTTTCACAGTTTGTAGCAACAACTATCTGAAGGTTTAGTGGGAATGAGATAAAAAGTAAATTATTAAAATAAGATTTGGAGATGACATAAGATTACTCCTGATAATGGGGGTTGCTCTAAGTAAATTAAACACTATTAGTATAACACTGAGATACCCTTCCCTAATCCATCCAGAGTGCCTTTCAGAATTTTACACAATGAAGGATCCTGAGAAGCATGTTTTCCCTTCCATTCTAATCTAAAATTTCCATTTCTCCTTTCCATTTTCCTCCTCATATCACACTAAATAATTCTTCCTTCTTGGTACTTGGCCCCTCAAATATTTGTAGACCAGGGCTAAAGAAAAGACTGCCTGTTTCTCTGGGAGTGGAGAAATGATTAAATGGCAGCTCCTGCATATGAAAGTTGGCACGGCTCTGCCAGGAGAGAGAAGGCCTGCAGAAACGCGTTGAGCAAGAGCTGGGGAGAAAAGTTAGCACTGCCACAGAAGCCAGCACTGACTGAGGAATGATTATGAAGCCCTTGGCACGGCAAACTGTAGGTGTTGTGGAAATAGCTGTGAAATATCATACCATAAATTTTCTTAACTGCTTGATTCCTGGGTTTCTGAGATAAATTATTTGTAATTAACTCATCCATCAGACTCATTCTTTTTTCTGTCGCTCCCAAAGGGATCTGCTCTTGAGCCTGAGGTCTAGGTCAATTTGTGTAAAATGAAATACTACCTTTATATTTTTAGAAGAAATAAGATTTGTTTTTTCCAGTTAGGTCCCAGTGTAAAGCTTTTTTGTTTTGTTCTTCCCCAGAGATGAACTAATAAAAGTTCTAGGCTGCATCTGCATTTACCAACATAACCATTTCAAAAACAAAATAGAAAATGTTAGTCAATTTGTTTTAACAGTGATAATAGTAAAACAGCAGCAGCAATTTTTTCAGTGCTTACTAGGTACTAAAGCAATGCTTTATATGCTGTTTAATTTCTTTTCTTTTCTTTTCTTTGAAACAGGGTCTGGCTCTGTCACTCAATCTGGAGTACAGTGGCGCCATCTCAGGTCACTGCAACCTCCGCCTCCCGAGTTCAAGTGAGTCTCCTGCCTCAGCTTCCTGCAGTAGCTGGGACTATAGTCGTGTACCACCATCCCAGGCTAATTTTTGTATTTTCAGTAGAGACAGGGTTTCACCATGTTGGCCAGGCTGGTCTCTACTCCTGACCTCAAGTGATCCACACGCCTTGGCCTCCCAAAGTGCTGAGATTACAGGAGTGAGCCACTGCACCAGCTTTAATTTCATCTTTACCATGCCCTTGGGATATAGATAGTTTTGTCCTGATTTTACAGATAAGAAAACTTTGAATTACAGAGGTCATATAAATTTCCTAAAACAATAGTTGATGTGGGGGCAGAGTCATTCAACACCTGGTTTGCCCCACTCCAAGCCTATCCTCTTTACTCACCATACAATATTAAAGATTTGACTGAATGTCATCACTAACTTGCTGAATGACTAAATTGAGCTGAGTTTTCAGATAATCAGTTGTACATGTAGTCACACTATAGCAAATATAAAATGTGTAAGATGAATAATAATGGCCAGGATGGAACACGTTCTTTTCAAAACTATGTTTACCCTTAGTATTTTGAAAGGAAAAAAGTAGTTTCAAGCATTACTCCATTTCAATAAGACTGCTTTGGAAAAGGTCCTAAGCTTTATTGTTTGTGGAGTCTTGATATACTGTGAGAGAACAGATCCCCATGGATGGGTAGGATTTGAAAATCCTGTTGGCATAGAAAGAATTTGAAATATTGTCCTATTTTATTCAGGGAGACCTCATTTTTGTATCTAGTTGGACAGATACTAGTCAAAAGACACAGGGATTCTGTTTATACCCAAATGAACAAGAAAAAAACCTTGCTTTGTGAACTATCACTTCCCACTGAATCAAAGAGTATATTGGATATTGCATCGTAAATTACACTGGCCACATGTGGTAGTTCCTAAGTAATTCCAGGTGTCTGACAGTTTGACCCAGCATAGGGAATGTAATTTTCAACAAGCTGGCCCTGGAAGCCAGGAGACCCTTCAGGCTACAATCTACCCACTTCATTCTCAATTCCCACCTCCCCACACCTTTCAGCTCCCCTTGCCACCACAGCCTCTGGTTCACACTGAAGCTTATGGAAAGGAGCAGGAACGCCATCACTAACTATGATTCCAACTACCACCTATTTTTCTAGCAAGGATGCTGTCAGTAAAGCAAATATTCTGGCATTTTAAAGAAGCTTAGAAATCAGGTCCCATGAACTGACAAATTGTTTCCATGCATGTCCTATTTGAGTGCTTCAGTGAGGCAACTGTTTCTATGTTTGTTCCACAATGATGGGTAACTCAGGGACACTTAATGAAACTGCTTCCCATCCATATTGACTATGGCTTTTTGAGAGCCATTAACCTTGCCAAACCTCACTCACTCTAGGTCCACCTCTAAGGGAGGTTTAAGAGCAAGTTTTGTGCTTTATGTGGAGGAATGCATTTCAGCCTGAACCACTGCCACCTCATTCCTAGCCCTTGGCCTGAGAGGAGCACTTGCATTTAACTGATTCTAAGTGCCTGGCAAACCAGAGCGGCAACTGCACTGGGCACTTACAGACTTTGCAGTCTGTGACTTCAATGAGTACGAAGCCTCAAGCATGCTCTTTTAGCAAAGATTAATAAGGAATACATTTCTGTGATGATTTTACACAACCAGCTTTTGGTTCTTGATTAAAATCAAGAAGACAATAGGTATATTCAAAAAGTGATAAACTAAGTAAGGTCACCATTTAAAAAGTTCTTGAAATTTTTCTGTTTGCTTTTTTTCCTTTGGCTATTTTTACAATTACTTCTCTCTCACTTTGTTAAATGAGTCAATGTGCACAGAAAGTACTTTTTCCAAATCAATACCCTGATAACTAAGAATTACTACCTGGAAATGGACTGGGGACATGTGCCTAGACTGTGCAAGTTGAAAGAGGAAGGAAGTTGATGCCCAAGAAATAAACAGATGGAGGCAACCAAGTAACCAAGTCAACACATCTAAGAACAGAGTTGTTGGGGCGGGGTATGAAAGAGGACCGCTAGTGAAAAAAATTGCCTTCTTTGTAAAATATATGAAGGGTAAAAATTTGAGGTTTGGGTTAGTTGGTAGAAGTAATACTGAGTTAGAATTAAATGGACCATAATGAAGTAGGTTTAGTTGCAGTCTTAAAGTTACAAATGTCATAATTAGACTAAACACTAGTGAGAAAACAACTTGTGATTGACTCCATTAAATTTAGAGCTGCAATAAAGTTTTATGGTAGAGAAAGACTGAAATGACTGTGGTTGGTGCACACATGGAAAAGGAGCATGAAATAAGGTATTAAAGACAATTTTTTTCCCAAATATGACAGTGGAATAAGGGGTGAGATTTAAAATAACATTACGTGAGTGTATGATAACACACCTTAAATATAATTCCTTTCATCTGTGTGCCACTTATAAAATGACTTGAAGGTGTGTGGGCATATGAAAAGAGCCCAGTAATTTCAGTCTGCCAGCTCTATGGCAAGCACAGGAGCTAATTAACAGTGCATAGCAATGTTTCACAGTTGTTTCATTCTGGAATGGAAGAACAATTTATCTCATTGAAAGGAGGGGGAAATTTAAGGTGAAGGTAATTGCTCAAATTGAATCTTGAGTAAACACATACCCCTAACATCTGTCGGTTAGAGTAAGGTTATTGAAATTATCTTGGCATTTTTAATTAGAAGAAAATGGGGCTTCAGTTTTCTGTTTCCTCCATACAATCTTAACAAGCATGTAAGACACTAAAGATACAGAAACCTGATGACTGAGATTGCCTGAGAATCAGCAAAGAAAACCCAATGATTATAAACAAATTTTAAAAGAAAAAGAGCATCACTTTACAAAATGTGGCTACTTCCACATGTAAAGAGTTGAAGTGAAGGATTCCTGTGGAGTATAAGTGTGATGGGTTTGGAATGCATGGATTGTTTTAAAAAGATCACCTATTGGAACAGAGTGCAAGAATGCATCAGTGTGGAAGGTGGTAAGGTGAGGGCTTTTTTTTGTTTTTGTAAAAAGAAAGAAGAAAGAAGAAGAAGGGTGTTTGATAGAGGAGCAGTTAAGGGAGAGATTAAGATAAGTGATCCGAAGAGAAAAGAATTAGAGTAAAGGTTAGTAACAAGGACTCCAAGAAGTGAGGAGGTGTAGGGTAAGGGAACGGTGGGCCGTGTCAAAACTCACCAGTTCCGTCCGCAGTAACGATGGCCTCGGGAGAGATGCACACGCCCCGGTCGTACACCGGCAGCTCCTCGCAGGCCAGGCTCTCCGGCCACGAGTGGCGGTACTTGATGAGGATGGGCTCGCAGCCCTGCCGGGCCCGCTCGCACACAGACTTACAGGGCTTGATGGGCTCGTGCTGGAAGTCAATGGTGCAGATGGGCGCGTACATGGCACAGAGGAAGAAGAGCAGATCGGGGCTGCAGTGGGTGCCCAGCAGACCTTCGAACTGCTCGATGGCCAGGATGGCGTTGGCCTGAGTGCTGTGGTGCAGGTGGTTGGGCATCTTGGTCATGTTCCAGGGCAAGGACTTGCACAGGGGGATGCGGACGGGCTCACAGGCTGCAGCCCGAGCCCCGGGCACCCGGAGTAGGCAGAGAGCAGCCAGGGCAAGCAGCCCGGCCCTCAGCAGCAGCATCCCTCCCGGGCTGCCGCAGACCATGATCCCGGCAGGATGGGGCAGGGTGCAGCCGCGCAGTGGACGCCGAGAGGCCCGCTCCGCCGTCTCCGCCTCCCCCCCTGCAAGTGGACACAAGGATCTGGGAGTTTCTCCTCCCCCGGCAATCACCGCTTCCTTGGATCAAATTCCCCCAATGAGGTCCCACGAGCTTTACCGAGCTCCAGCCGCCGCCCCTGCCGCCCAGGCTGCTCTTTCCCAACTTCTAAGCCTTCGGAGGCAGCAGCATCTATTTATTCCTCTCCCTCTGGCAGAAGCATCAGACTTCGCAGATCAGTCAGATAAGAGGGACACGAGAGGAGGCGAGGAAGACATAAAAACAAAAGTAGAATTCAGCTGAGAGATAGTTGGAACTCTGGGGTGTCACGTCCCCTAGATCAAGCACACAAAAAGATGCTAAAGAAAGCATTAAATTCCCCAAAGTGAGGAGGACAGAGGGGTTGGGGAGAAAGAGAGAGGAAAAGCTCCTAATGGGAGAGAAGGGTGCAGTAAGAGTTTGCAAATCCTGTGGGCTAAGAGCTGCGGCCGCCGCTGCGACTGCGACCCTGGCTGGCAAGAGGGACGCTCGGGAGGAGCCTCGCCTGGAGGTCTGTGCCTCGGCCCCGGCAGCTCTGCACTTTCCTACCTCCGGCCCGAGAGGGAGCTCCGCCCCTGGGGCAGTCTCTGCCCTCCAGCACCGGCTGCTCTTCCCAAGAAAGGAGTGGGCGCCCGGGGGAGAGAAGGCCTGGGGGTCGCAGGCGGTGGGGCGCGAAGCCGTGCGAAGCTGTGAGAGTGCAAGACCCCAAGACAGCGCCCAGTCGATCCGCGCCCTCACACGAGGGAACCCGTCTTTGACCCCAGAGACGAGCCCCTAGCCCCTCACTCAAGAGCCCACCCCAACTCCCTACGGAAAAGTCCCCCTAGTTCCCCACTTGGGATCCCACCCGAGACCCTCCTTCCTGGAGGTATTTCCCTTAAGCAAACTGCAGCTTTTCCTTGCAATCACTGGCTCTGCAGAGAGTCATACCTGGTGGCCGAAAGGCTTAAGCAATGTCACGTTGTCCAAGTAGCGGAAAAGACAGACCCCTGCGAGCAGCGGTGGAGCCTTATCAACCCAGAGCTAGTGACTACAGAGCTCTCCATTTTCAATAACTGCAGGGGAGGAGGTGGGGGGGCGGGGGGAGGATTGCCTTTCAAAAAAGAAAGAAGGAAAGAAATGCTGCGCATGATTACAAATAGGCCACCAGAAGCAAGGAACAGGGGTTTTTTTCCTTCTATTTGTTTCCCCCAGTGGAATTAGAACTTCTGAGTTTTGCTCCTTAAGCATTAATACGGAAACTAACAGCTCTAATGCACTTGGACTTTTTTTTTCTTCTGATTTTGCTCACGAATAATATGGCAGATATTATCTGTTAATAACTCTTCTCAGCAACAATTTTGCCCGACACTTAAAAAAAAAATGTGTAGGAAAACGACATCACGCAGGTAATGATGATTATAACAACAATCAAACCCTTTCCATCCAGATGAGTTCAATCTGGAGGAGAAAATGGAAAACAGATCCCCTCCTGGTCTGCTCCTTCCACTAATGAGCCCCCCTTCCCCCACCTCCGCCCCACCCTCCCCTTTCAGCTTATATTGTAAATGGAATGACCTGCAGAGGCCTTCACACTATGCCCTCTCAATGGGAAATCACTGAGCAAAAGGATTGCCGAATGTCAGAAAACACAGCCTTCATTGAGAGGAGAAGGAAACAAAACCTGAAGCAAAACAGGAAGTCACCTTTGCTCTGCATCACTGAAATATTTCTCTGCTTTAATTTAGCCATCTCTCACCGTCCATAACAAGCAGAGAAAATATGTCCCCACTTCAGAGCACGTAGTGAGATGCTCGTTTCCATTCCCTTGAGTGACCTGACAGCACCTATAAAATGTCAACGCTAACTTGAGTTATGGAATTTTATCTCTAAAATAACCATAAACAGCAGTTTGTGACTGCAGTAAATTTTTTTGGAAAGAAGTTTGTTCCACTTATGGTGGCGGGGGCGGGAAACACCAGATGGTAGACAGGGAGTCAGTTAGTATACAAACTTTGCCTGGTCTGCAATTACCTAGTGTCATGTAAGAGAACAAATTCAAAAATTGTACACACGAATTTAAAATGATTTACCAAGTAAAATTTAGAGGAAAAACAACTTTAGAAGACAGTCAACATTAGAACATTTGGGGGCTATTCTGTGTCATAAAAATAGAGCTGAGATTTTCTTAAATTAGAAGAAAAAACATCAGGAGTAGATGTAGTAAATTGTTTGCTAAATACATTTTTCTGTTCATCTTAAAAGTCTTACAGTGTAAGAAGAAAGGTGCCAGTAGTTTGAAAGGTTCTGCAACTATTTGAAACAAAGTCTGTTTCCCTTCCCCTGCACAAAAGTCAGCTATCCTCTTCATCTAATAGGTCTCCTTACAACTTTAATCCAAATTTGTTTTTTAAAAAGCCCAAAATAAATGTCACTGTCTTGAGGAAGCCCTTTTGAGTACCTTGTCTAGTTGTGTTCATTTTTCTGGTTAGCTATCCTTGAACAGTGTTTGTTTTTACAAATTATTCTTTTTTTTTTTTTTTTTTTTTTTTTTTTTTTTTTTGAGATGGAGTTTTGCTCTTGTTGCCCAGGCTGGAGCGCAGTGGCGCTATATTGGCTCACTGCAACCTCCACCTCCCGGCTTCAAGAGATTCTCCTGCCTCAGTCTCCCTAGTAGACTCATAAGCTCTCCACTTGTGAGTCTCCAAAGTCTATTATACCACTCAAAGGTATGCCTTCGTGTACCCATAGCTTTGTTCTCATTTATAAGTGAGAACATACAGTATTTCGTTTTCCATTCCTGAGTTACATCACCTAGTATAATGGCCTCCAGCTCCATCCAAACTGCTGCAAAATACGTTATTTCATTCTTTTTTATGGGCTCCACACAAGTCATATCCAGGTGAGGACACCTGGCTGTCTGAGAGCTGCAGCATAGCACCCCCTAGCACCTAGTTGGGACTGTGGGTTAATTCTAGGCTCAACCACTGCTTAGGAAGTGCACCCAGACCCAGTGATGGCCAGTCAAGCTTCTCAGGATGAGTGATGATAGTATGATCACTGGCATTTGGTTTAACTTCCTGACAGGTAGGTGTTCCTGTGGCAATGTCAAGAAAAACATCATGCTAGAGTATATTACTTTGATATGGCCATATTACCAAAATTCAAAGTTGGCCAATTTCCCCCTCCCTGCCCCAATTTTGCAATGTCTTTTTTTGTCAGTAATTTAAATATTCACATTATTTTTTCATCTGTTTGAATAAACTGTAAACCTACCCTAGGTTTGTGTTAATAAGTCTACCCACATTTTTGCTATAAGAAAATGTGTTTGCAAAAAATACAAAAGAAAATATTCTTACATTTTCACAAGCAGAGCTAATGTGTAAAATAGTTAACAACTGGTACAGTTGAACACCAGCGAGTCAGAATGGCTGTGGCCAGGCCCATTCTATACTATCAGGGTATCAAGGAGCAAGGAATTAGTGTTTATTGAGTACTTGTGAGTATTTTATGTGAGGTACATAAACCACTTTTTAAGCACATAAACTGCACAAGGTATTAGTTCCAAAGATGAAGAAAATAAGGCTCCATAAGATGAAGTTTCCCAAAGTTATCACAGATAGATAAGGGCCTGGCAGAGTGAGATTTGAATCCAGGCTCTTTTAACAATTCAAATTATCTGCTTCATACGCAGAAAAGAGCCAGGAAAAGGGAAAAACCAGGGATCTCTGTGAGCCTGGGTCTCAGCCTGCACCCTGACCACACCAACTGTCAGATATTGGCTCTATCTTCTTAAGAATAGAAAGATGTTGGCCGGGTGCGCTGACTCACGCCTGTAATCCCAGCACTTTGGGAGGCCAACACAGGTGTATCACGAGGTCAGGAGTTCAAGACCAGCCTGACCAAAAACATGCTGAAACCCCGTCTCTACTAAAAAAAAAAAAAAAATTAGCCGGGCATGGTGGCGCGCGCCTGTAATCCCAGCTACTCAGGAGGCTGAGGCAGGAGAATTGCTTGAACCCGAGAGGTGGAGGTTTTAGGGAGCAGAGATCAAGCCACTGTACTCCAGTCTGGGTGACAGAAAGAGACCCCATCTCAAAAAAAAAAAAAAAAAAAGAATAGAAAGATGTCAAGATGTCAAACCCAATGAGAAGCTTTGGATTTCAGATGGGGAGACCTCCTTGCTCATAGCCTGTACCTGAAGTATTCTGCAGACCTAGTAATTCCTTGAGTTCTGTCTTAGGAAGAAGATCTTACCCTTTCCCATCTCCACGCAAACCAATAAAATCTTCCCAGCTGTTCGATGCAGCAACCTTAGGGCAATGATTCTCAAACTGAATCATGCAGCAGAATCCCCTGGAAGGCTTCTGAAAACATAGGTTGCTGGGCTTCATCCAGAATTTCTGATAAGGTGAGAATTTGCATTTCAAATAAGTTATCAGGTGATCCTAATACTGCTGTCCAGGAACAACACTGTAAAATCACTCTTTTGAACTAGATAGTAAGCTTTGATTTACCCCGAGTAAATGCTTTTCATGCTATAAAGATTTCATGATTTGATCTCTTTTTATCTTTTCTCATAGGAAAATTGGAAACAAAATGTTAATAAAGCAGCCTAATAGCTAAATGACTCTCTAAAGTTTGTCTAGATACCTCTACCACTCAAAGGTCATAATAATAGCCCCAGTGAGACTTGGCCTTACAATCAACTGGCCCTCTGGCCTTCATGTACTGTCCTAAGGGTCACAGCATCACTCCACCCCCATTGCAGAAGAAGAATGATAGATCCAGCTTCAAAGAAGTTGCAGAAGGAACCTTAATATCTTAGTGGTGGAATGAATCTCAGCAATCTAATCCACCCACCTCTTTCACCTCTGCAACCTCCTAGCCCTCCCCACCATACCTTAATTTGAAGAGAAGACTCGAGATAAAATCACTTACCCAAAATCATGAAGTTAATGGCACGTATGGCAGACGTACCTACCAGCAGCAATAACTTAAGCATGCCCTGAGAATGACCCTATGGTCTAAAAACAAGGTGTGTTCGGAGTTGTGAGCTAAGGAATTCAAAAGTGACCAATCCAGAGATTAATTCATTATTTATGAGGAACCTATGAACCCCCAGCCCATCCCATGGAACTCAGGCCATACCGGGGATTGAGGCTGTTTGTTTCGGGTTAAATGAAGGTTGTCAGGTAGGGGTTTCTAAGGAGAGGGTGCCAAGTGAAAATTCTATATAAACAGCGTGCTTTCTACAAATGGTAGTGGTTCTCCTGTCCAGCCCGCTGCCACTGGACTACCCTGTATGCAAGTTCCCTCAATAAACTCCATGTCTCGTTTGCTGCCTCTGAGTCCCTTTTTCAGCTTCTTGAACATGGCACCATTCTTACTGAAGTTAATAGGGTTCTGGCGTGACACAGCAACTCATATGGTTTGGCTGTGTCCCCTCTGTCCCCAGTAAATCTCACCATGAATTGTAATCTTCATAACCCGTACGTGTCAAGAGCAGAGAGGAAGTCAAATTGTCCCTGTTTGCAGATGATATGATTGTATATTTAGAATACCCCATCGTTTCAGCCCCAAATCTCCTTAAGCTGTAAGCAATGTCAACAAAATCTCAGGATACAAAATTAATGTGCCAAAATCACAAACATTCCTATACACCAATAATAGACAGAGAGCCAAATCATGAGTGAACTCCCATTCACAATTGCTACCGAGAGAATAAAATACCTAGGAATTCAACTTATAAGGGATGTGAAGGACCTCTTCAAGGAGAACTACAAACCACTGCTCAAGGAAGTAAGAGAGGACAGAAACAAATGGAAAAACATTCCATGCTTATGAATAGGAAGAATCAATATCGTGAAAATGGCCATACTGCCCAAAGTTATTTATAGATT